GAGGAGGAACTATAGAGAATTCTTGCCTGACGGGGTTTCGATCGTACTTTGCCTGCCCACACACTCTGCATTCATTAATAAATTTTGCGATACTTTCTTTCATCTTGGGCCAGTAGTAACGATGCGACAAGGTAAGATAACATTCTGTTATACCGCGGTGGTTAGTTTTTCCTTGATGATAATTGCGAATAATTTCCTGTTGTTTCATATAGTCTTTAACGTTTTCTGTTTCTTTCTTCGTCAAGACCATATTTAAAGCAGAACTTTTAAAATTACTTTGAATAATTGGAATAATATGATACATAGCTAGTGGTGGATGAATAATTAGTCCGGTTTTTACTTTAGGATTAACGTTTTCTTTAATGGCATTAATAACATCACTTTCAAGATTAGACTCAGATACCTGTATAGTGGTTTTAACGTGAGTGTCAAATGGTTTGGTTACAGTGGGGCGTTTTTTAATATCTCCAACAACTACTAGACATACTTGACGGTAGAATTTATTCAATGGTTCATCAGATATTGGGATTTCTAATATAGGATCTTCGGTACTAGTATGGGCTGTCAATGTGGTTGAACCAGTAAGAGAAGGTGGTTTCTCCGATGGGTTAACTGTAATTGAACTAACATCCTCGTGATTTATTTCGATACGAGATAGAGCATCCGCGTTGGTGTTGAATTTACCCTGCTTGTAGATGATCGTGAAGTTATACTCACTTAATTTTAACCTCCAACGGGTAAGTCGAGAATTCGGTTCCTTTAAACTCATAACCCATTGCAATGGCTTATGATCCGTTACAATTTTGAATTTCCTTCCAAAAAGATAGGGGCGGAAGTATTTCGTCGCCCATACTATTGCTAATAGTTCCTTTTCAATCGTGCTATAGTTAATCTCACTACTATTTAGTGTGCGCGATGCGTACGATATGGGTTTGTTGTCGCTACCTATTTGTCCTTGGGATAGAACAGCACCAATGGCCAGATTAGAAGCGTCAGTTGTTAGAATGAATTCCTTATTAAAGTCTGGGTATTGTAGGATAGGATCATTAGTTAAAAGGGTTTTGCACTTTTCAAAACAGCTGATATAACTTGGATCATTTAGACTAATCTTTGAACCTTTTTTGAGACACTGTGTCATTGGTTTTGTTATTCGGGCAAAGTCCGGGATAAATTTCCGATAATAGCCTAATAGACCTAAAAAGCGTTTAATTTCAGTAGCTGTTTTAGGTATCGGGAATTTTTGGATAGCCGAGATTTTATCAGGGTTGGGTTTGATCCCATCTTTGCTAATAATGTGTCCCAAATAGGCTGTTTCTAATTTCAAAAACTCTGATTTGTCCATTTGAATCTTGAAATTTGATTCCCTGAGTCTCTGAAAGACCTTTTCCAAATTTACCATATGTTCCTGGAGGGATACTGAAAATACTATGATATCATCTAAATATACTAAGCATATGACATTTTGAAGGTCCCTTAAGACATTGTCCATCACGCGTTGAAAGGTGGATGGTGAGTTTTTTAAGCCCATTGGCATACGGAGAAACTCAAAATGCCCATGTTCAACTGTAAACGCGGTTTTATGGATATCGTCTGGATTCATTTCAACTTGATAAAATCCGCTTGCGAGATCTAATGTAGTGAAGTATTGACAGTTGCCTAACTTATCTAATACGTCAGCAATATTGGGTATAGGATAACGATCGTCAATAGTTTTTTCATTTAATTTTCTGAAATCTATGACCAAGCGCCATTTTGTTTTTCCACTGGCGTCGGCTTTTTTGGGCACAACCCAGATGGGGGAACTCCAAGCAGATTGTGAAGGCTGTATAATATTTTGTTGTAACATTTTAGAGATTTGATCCTGAACTTCCTGCTTATGTACAAAAGGATATCGGTAACTTTTAGTGTAGATTGGTACTTCGTCCGTAGTTTTAATAGAATGTTTTACCTGATTTGTGAAAGATAATGGTTCACCATCTATATAGAATACGTCAGCGTATTTGGCACAAAGTGTCTCTAAGTTAGCCTTCTCCTCGGGATTTAAATGTTCTGTTCGTAATCGTGCTAATACTTCTTTAACACGGGAATCGTACTGTTCAGAATGCAAGCCTTGAATATTAAATATTTCTGCGCTAACGGGACGATCCATTGAGAAGATTACATCATGACGTGATGAGTTAGTAACTTCTATTATGCCTCTACTATCTTTAACGTTTGTAATGCAATTGCCTATTAAACAGTTTGAGATTCGTTGTTCAGGAATGAAAACTTCACCGTCTTGAGAATTTATAGGGACATTAATTAATTTAGATAAGTTAGCCGGTATTATGTCTTCGTATAGGTTGCTGTTGCGTGAATTATACATTAATAATGGATTACTAGAGTTCCGTGTAATTAGCAATTTATTTTTTAAGTCTATGGTAGATTCTAATTTTTCTAATAAGTCATAGCCAATCAATCCGTCGAAATATTCGTGAAACGCGTACACGGAGAGAGTAATATCACCCGACTCATTAAATTCTTTAAAACAGGGTATAGTGATGGAGTAGTCAGTTCTAGTAGTAGCGTGAATATTGGTGACTTCAAAAGGGTCGTAATTGTATGGTACGTGAGGAAAGAATTGTTGAGCGACAGCTGGACTGACGAACGACATATTTGCACCTGTATCGATTAATAATTTGAGCGGGGGATTTGAAATTTGAATATATGGTAACTGTCTCTGGGTATGTAAATTTATTTCTATTTTAATTTGTCTGATTTGGAGTCCTTCGGAAAATCCTCATTATCAGAAGGCTGAGTGCAAGGAACTTCTTCTATGGTGTACGTATCTTCAGTCTGTGGTTGCTCGCAACTAAATTCGTAAGAATTTTCGAAATAATCATAAGGATAATAATTATCGGTATTGTAAAAATCGTTGTAGTAATCATACTCGACCGGGCATGTAAAATCGTTATAATTTACCTGCTTTGTTTTAAAATAATTCGAAGGTGGTGGGTTACCAGCTCTCGACCAATCGTGGGTTGGACGCGGGGCGAATGGTTTTGCTACGTAGTGACTAACACCACTCATAGGTTGCGGTAAATTACTCCCGGAAGGCTTAGGGCCTGGCATTCTAAAGACATTCTGCGGTCCATTATTAGGTGGTGGCGCACTAAACATCTGTTGAGTCCGTGAGGGACCACGGTATTGAGGGGGTTGATTCCTCAACAATGGTTGTTGAGTCTGAGGCGTGAATAGTCGCGACGGTCCTGGTATATTAAAAGGCCTAGGAGGTGATAAGGTAAACGGGTGCGCTGAAGGCGGCGCCGTTTGCACGGGTGGCTTAAAACCATAAGAAAATCTCGGACTAACCTGATGCTGATACTGCAACTTCTTTTCAGGAGCACGTTCATTGCGCTGCTGTAAGTATAGCGTATTCATTTCATCATGTACATACTCAAGGGCTTTTTCAATAGTATCAGGCCGCATGCAACGAATACGAGAACCTAACGGGTCACGTAAGCCACGTAAGAACGACTGTAGTGTAAGTTTTTTATAAAGAGTGCGCTTTGATTCAATAGTAGTGGCTACCGTTTCATGCAGACTGATATAAGTCATAATGGTACTAAAAAGATTTTGGCATTGTTCATAAAATTCTTGGGGAGTTGCCGTACCTTGAGTTAAAAGGGCTAAGTCATTATACAAGGACGTTTCATCACGCTGATCGGCGAAATTATTTATTAAAGAACTTCTTATTCCTTCCCAGGAATCTGGAATCCCGTTCGTATTAATCAACCTCGCTGCCGACCCTACTACTTTATTTAAAATTCCATTTAATAATGCCAAATTAATTAATTCACGACCTGGCTCGTTCCTCATGTATTGATTTACCAGTTGATCACATAATTTTATAAAGCGAGTTAATACGTTCGAGTTACCGTCGAATTCCGGCACCAGTCGTAGGGCCTTGTAAATATGATCCACTGATTCAGCCATATTCGAAGCGTGAGAACTACTACTTTCACACGGGTATGCTTCTAAATTTCTGTTAGCGTCTAAAATATTAATTCTATTACTATTACTATCTAACCTAGATAACCGAGATTGCCTTGGATGGAAAATCTTGGATAATTAGGGAAACACTTAAGGATAAAATGGAAAGCGACTCTAGAACGATTCTAGCGTACTTACTTGCACAAAATGGTACCTCTACTGTATCGATGTCTGGATACCCCTCGTGGCTGCAGCTCTCCCAGATTCGGATACTCGTGCGGTGCTTGATAACCACCCGGGTGGCTCGCGACTTTGAGGACTATTAGCGATCCTAGCAATTTACTCTCGCGAACCGGCCCGCGAGTATCCTACCGACTGCGCCAATTACGTAGGCTGTAGCCGGAGGATGCAAAGGAAACCAAATTGTTTCTTAAAATATAACTTTAATTAATTAAAATTACAATAAGTAGGTGATAATTGGTCGATGTTGTACCAAGAATGACGCTCTTTACACGGGTTGAAATTAGATCGACAATTTATGCTGAGTTCGCGCCTCGTGTACGGAAAGTTGTCGCGATGCACAAAAGTTCCTCATTTACACCGTTGGGCCGTCTATTGCACCGTAGCGTAACACCTGTGTCATGGGTGCGTTTACAAACATACAAGTTCACATACACATGACACCCAGACCCGAAAAAACAATCTGTGGATCACACAATAAATTGTTCCGTGCGGGAATCGAACCCGCGACACGATGCGCGGCAGTCAATTGTCCAACCGTGCAGTCTATTTAGACAACTAATTAAGGTAGCTTAAATAGTGATAAAATATCGAAAACCTAAAAATATCACAATAATATTTTACTCAACTCGGAAATCGAACTTATGGCTAGTGGCTACTGAACTGATGAAGCGATCAGAGTTAAAAAGGACCTGGAGAAAGAAAGTCGTATTACATTACAGATACTAGTTTGGTCAGCACAGAAACTATACGGACGAGTCGAAAGGGCGATACTATCGTACCCTGACATGTTAGAAGCCACGATCCTTCTGTCACCTTGGAATAAATTAAGAAAAACAGCTAAAGGTGCTAGGTAAGGTTTCTATTGTAAGAATAAATTATACTTTATTCTTATACATTATAAAAAGAAAGACTGCCTCGTTGGCCGAGTGGTCGCAAGTGCGACTGCCGGGCAAGGGGTCTCGGGTTCGATTCCCAGGCCGGGCAAAGTACTACTGGGGTTTTAAAAAAAATCTCAGTGGTAGCACGGAGTCTGGAATTGTGCCCGGTATATGGCAATAGGCTCACCCCCTATTACATGGGACTCATAACATAAATAGTTGTATATGTTTCATTTAGTAATAGTATTAATTTTATTTAAGTTTTATTAAAATTCCTTGTCTTATAAATAAATATCCTGGCAACAAAAAAAAACTTGTGAAAAGTGGGTGTTACATTGTACAATGGCATTAAGTGCCGTAATGTGCACCTCTGCCTACCGCTTCGGGGATAAAAGACGTGAAGTTATATATGTATGTAGTTTCTAAACATCGGAAATAATGTCTATAATAGAGTTAGTGGAGAGCGATCACCGGTGATCGCTAGGGGATTGAGCAGTTCACTTAATCTAAAGATTTTAAACTGTCAAACACCAAGCGGTCACCGGTGACCGCGACCTATTGTTCTTTAATTGTGTCTATAAAACCGGTACTCGACGAGTTAAATTGAAATCGGTTATTGAAATTGGCCATGCAGTGACCCGCAGCAGCGCTCTTATATAAACCTGAACCTTTTGAACAGCGAACAGCAATCTGCAAAACCGTCTTCTGTTGAGGAGGTCCATAGTCCAGCTTATGGACCTCCCGAACTATTAATGAAGTAAATTAATATTAATTAATATTCGAGTATTCCTTTTTTAAAGGCCGGCAACGCACCTGACTTCTCTGTTGTTGCGGGTGTTTATGGGCGGCGCTGATCGCTTACCATTAGGTGATCCGTCTGCTCGTTTGCCTCCTATCCTTACTAATATTATAAATCTGAAAGTGAGTTTGTTTGTTTGTTTGTTCCACCTTCACGCCGTAACTACTCAACCGATTGCTTTGAATTTTTGCAGACGTAAAGTTAGAAGTCCGGATTAAATAATAGGGTACTTTTTAACCCGGAAAACATTGATGTTCCCGAGGAAAAACAAAAGTATTGGTATAGATGGCGGTGTGTGTATATGAAGAATAAAAAGTAGCCTATATGTCACATAGGCTACTTTTTATTCTTTTGTGACGCGAGCGAAGCCGCGGGTAAAAACTAGTTCCATATAAATAGAAATATTATGTTTTCGTCTTACTCACGTAACTATTTGACGAGGAACTCGACTAGTTTCAAGCGGCGACTGTCGCGATGGTACGTGACATTCGCCGCGTCGCGGGTCGCGAAATGCTGTTCATGAATATGAGCCTCTAGCATGGCTTGAAACTAGTCGAGTTCCGCGTCAAATAATAACGCGAGTAAGCCGGAAACATAATAATTAATATAATATGTCACACGAAAGTTTTAATATTAATGATGTAAGCAAAATCTTCACAAAACCTGGTTCAGCACAAAATTTTCTATTCCAGGTACCTTTTAGAATTTACCCTCGTGATGCACTTGTATGGCTCCTGTTGTATCTTCGTCATCATGATAGCTAGAGCTTTAAAGGAGCTAGTGAATGGAGACCATACGATCAGTGATGCTGGCGAACCACCTTTGAAGGTCTACATCATATCCCTGATGATGCCATGCGTGGCAATATCGATGGTGATGGATTTGAAGACCCTGGCGCCATTTGCTCTGATCTGCAATCTATATGCTTGTAAGTTTCGTATTAAAAACTTAATATAAACATTTTCTTTGAATAATGTAGCCTTTTAGCGTCTAAAGGGGAACGTATTTCACAATGTAAACTGATAAATAGTAATAGGAGATGAACCTATTACCTGATGATGATGATAATGATGATAATGTACCTGTATTCTTGTTGTGTTTCGTGACACAATAAATGGTTTTTCTTTCTTTTTTTCTGTTTTCTTTCTTTTTTTCTTCCTTTTTTTCTTTCTTTCTATCTATTACCATACACAGGCATCATTTAAGTGTGGAAAGCCACCCTTTAAAACGAATGGGACGACCGAAGTGATACCACGTCCTCACAGAAAATATGCGTGAAGCAACGCTTGCGTTGTGTTTCGTCGTGTGAGTGAGGTTACCGGAGGCCCAATTATACCCCTCCTTCCCCAATCTCCCTAATCTCTGAATCTCAACAATCCTCAAATTCCTAATCCCCCAACAGCCGGTAGCGCACTTGTAACGCCTCTGGTGTTCCGAGGTATCCGTGGACGACAGCCGTTGCTTATCATATTCTGCTCGTTTACCGGCTTATCTCATAAACGAAATATCATTTCAAAATCCGTTTTTAATGTCATTTCATTTATTTTCAGTTGCCGTCATCCTAGTTCTGTTATGGTATAGTTTCCATAACATAGTGGACAGTCCATGGGACAGAGATCCCTATAAGTCGGTTATGGGAACTTTTCAGTTCATGAGCCTATGTGTATTCGTCTTGGAGCCTGTCAGCCACTCCTTGGCAGTCGAGAACAATATGCAAGATCCTACGAAGTTCCATTACGTAGTACTTGGATGTGAGCATCTACATATATGTTTATCTTACTATCCTGTTTTAGCTGCAAAAGTATCTTGTTTACTAGTGTTCAATAATCTTCACTGTGAACCATTATCACCATCAGCATAATCAACACTGTCCTATTTATGGGCAAAGACCTTGTGTCATAGATAGAAAGAGCATTTATAACAACGCTTACTACAAAATCTACATCATTAGCTCCTGGTCAAGTCAAACTTCAGAATATAATTTCTACACATAGCAAACGTATTGGTGATAGCAATTTGAAAAGATTAAGTACCAAATGTCCGAATACTCAAACGCCACTCAATTTTATCTGGTGCTGAAATATAGTAAAATGACGGAGATGTTACGATATCTAAGTACAACTTAAAATAGCCTCTCAGTATTCGGTTCGGGCGATAATGTACTGTCCAGTCTCAGTCAAATAAATGTGTAGTCCATTTGACATTGGGTGGCTCGCCGCCCGACCAGAACCAGACCCGAGCGTACAGGGGGTTCGCGTTTCGAGCGCGCCTCAAAGAGCCATCAGACCACTACGGATGGGGTCCAATACGGGTTACCGGGGCTCCGGCTCGAAGTGCAGCAGTAGGAACGGGGTGGTTTTTAGTCAGTAAGAGTCTGACACTCAGGCGGGATGGAGCTCCCGCCTCATCCAGGCGGGAGAAGTCATTCGCTGATTTTAACCCCCTTAAAAAAAGTACCTTTGTCATGTCTTATGATATCCAGTCTTATCCTTATGAGATCCAAACATAGAGTGGAATTGTGTCGCAAAATTCTGCTGTACTATCACAAGGCTGAATTTTAAAATGTTTTCAGCTATGCCAGTCCACACTGCTTGCATGGTAACTGTTGGGTTTATCGGTTACTGGTATTATGCTGACAATTGTGTGTCGCCAATAACAATGCATTATCCTTATTCGGCGTAAGTTCTTTTTTAATACATACATATATACATCAACTTTTTATTTATTTATTTATTTATTATTATCTTAGTTTTTAGTGAAATGGTTGCTACCTGCGACTACAAAATTTTTTATTAAACCGTTTTTGTAATATTTAATTGCACAGTAGTAACACGTAATGCGTGGTTATTATAAGACTCGATATAGACCGAAACCAGTTGAGCATCCTCAAAAAAAATCTTCTTAATATTTCTACTAGCTGCTGCTCACGGTTTTGCTCGAGTTCCTATGGGATATAAAGTACCCTATACTATAATCTATCTCTGTTCCAAATTTCATACCAATCTCGGTGGCCGTTTTGACCTGAATTCACAATTATAATATTAGGAACATTAATTAATATTCTTTTTTCAGCTTCGCCATAATATTAAAAGTATTTCTCTGTATAGTACTATACGTTGTATACGCAATGTGTTTCCACGTGGCTTTTGATGTGGAATGGTTTTATTTGAAACGGTATCATCAGATATCTAATCATTGGTTTTGGGAGAGGTTGTATAGAACCTTGCACACTGTGGTACTCATACTTATATCGTATCTTCTGCCAAATGTCACTAGAATGATGGGTGTTGTAAGTCATTTTTCTTTTTTTATATACTGTTTTTACAAACTAAAACGACCGTTGCGGGGACTCTGATGACTTAGACATCTTTCACGATTCGCTTCACGTGTTTAGGAATAAAGTAGTTAAAACAATTAAGTTGTGTTAGATTGCTTTTAATTATTATTGTTATTTTATTTTTGTTTGCTTTGACTCTTTTTGTCTTTATTAATATAATTGTACATGGAATGTATGATCCCGTGAGTGTTATGCACATCTGTCACTGGTATGCATATCAGACTTTTTAATTTTGTGTTCAACTGTGTTATGGCTAGTGTATAATGGTTATACTGTTGATGTGCCTTTAATAAATAAATAAATAAATAAACCATGCCTTACTGCAGAGTAGAATATATTCGTCACTAAACCTTACCCCCGAATACTGAAAGGCTACAAAATTTTAAAGGTGTACTTAAATATTGTGTCAGCTTTCGTCATTTTATAAAGAATTTGTAGTGACAGAACAATTCTTAACCGCAAAATAAAATTAAGTGGCGTTTAAGTATTTGGACATTACTCTGTGGTTGACGTAGGTCCTTTTTTATGACGGAGAGCAATCTTCAAAAGGTGCCTAGCTTTTTAGGGAGAATAACTAGGGAGTGTGAGAATTTTACTTCACTAAAATCACCCTGATAGCCACCCTCAGCACTTGCAAGGGCACAGGGTCCTCTAATATGTGCTCCGAAGTGCAGCGCCTAATACGGCACATCCCTAGGTCATGTATGTAGGTCCCTTAGATGTTTAACAGAGATCGGACTGCAGTAGGGCTCTTTTTTATAATGGAACAAGCCCGCCACAACCTCCCAAAACCGCTGCAACTCCTGTAAGCCAGGACCTACAGTAGATAGTAGATACAACAATGGAAACACCGGAACACTGAAGTCCGGCGTCCCAGGGACATGAATAACTGTCTTGGTTACCGCAACGAAGTAAATCAGAAGATATTATAAGAGGAGAAGAAAAAACGATAATTTCCACTTCTCTCAGTAAATTACTACAGCAGATAGAATGAATTAAGCCTAAAGGCCTGCAGGACTCTGTGATAAACTCAACGATTTTAAGCTGCGAACTCTCAACTTGTCTGCTAACAGTGGAGTTTATAGCTCCTCTTTTGTAGAGGAGACCTAAAGTACAGCAGTGGACGAGTAGGAGTCATTATAAAAGCATTCTACTTCTACAAGCCTTACGTAATATAAATTTACACAATTATTTTCATTTCAGCTCGGTGGTTTGTTCACAACCCCAGCAGTAATGATTTACCCAGCAATCATAGAACTGATCCTCGATTGGGAATATCCAGGACTTGGTAAATATAGATGGAGACTAGTGAAGTGTATATCTATAGTCATTGTCGGCTTGGTGACAGTCTTCGGAGGAACATACTTCAATATCGTAGGAATGATAGAGGAGATACAGTTACAAAACAGTGGAGGGTTCAAACCTAATTACTCTCATCATAATAATCATGATGATCAGTGGAAATCCTATGTCTATCTTAGGATAGATACTGAAGTAAATCCAAGCATCTATCTATATAACAATAGTGATATGAATGTAAATTTTTACGATACCATGTCAAAAAAAAGCACTCATGAGATTCGAAATTTTAATGCTAGCAGTCTTTTGCCTTATAACAAAACTTATGAACTACCTGAACCCATTATACCGAGTCTTAGAAATGTTGACTTAAATAATAGCGCTGTTTATGTGATGCCTGGTTTAAGACATGTCTTTAATGATATTATAGTCATCAATAACAAAATCAATACCGTAGATGGCAGCACTACTCTTTTAAGCAATGATGTGTTTTATATAACGCCTGAGAGTACTAGTGTTATAGTATATGACAAAAACACTATCACAGATAAAAGCATTATTAATTTTAAAACTGATATTGTAACTATACAAACTGATGTTAATAATGACACTAGTTCGACTACAGCCACAGATGATAAAATTGACAAAGAACTGTCAAATGTTACTGACACTATTGCATCTGTCGTTAAAAATGATGATATTACAGAAATTGATGGTCTGATTGACAGAAAACTGTTAAATATTACGACTAAGGTGAAAATAGACAAAGATTTTGATGAGCAAATTGGGAAAGCGAAACCAGTGTGGTAGGTAACAGAAGTTTGTTGTTTTATAGATAATATTATATAGATTTTAGACCATTATGTTTACGGCAGAGACCCATAGGAGACAGGCGTGAGATAATGTTTGTATGTATGTATTTTAGGGTGTTTCACAATTTGTCATTAAACTGTTGTTAGTAGCCAAATATTTATTATTTAGACGCTTTCGTATAAATGACAAATCAAAAGATCTCCTTGTTGTTAGTCCGTCTTCATGGTATTTATGAATATTTTAACAAACCGACTTAGGATGAAAGGGGTTGTCAAATGACCTATAAGTATTTATATTTGTCCGCGATTATCTCGCAATTGGCTGTGCCGTTTCTAATGCGGTTTTGAGAAACGTGTTTGTTGCACTTAGGAGCAGATTTTATTATATTAACCTTAAAAATATAAAGATGTTAAAATCAGTCGTTTCTAAAGTAGTCGATAGAAAATCATTCTTAATTCATATTAGTATTTTAATTTATCCTAGAATATTATTAAACACAGATATTTTTAAAACTTGTATTGTTTCAATAAAACATTTTATTTACTAATTGTTCTCGTTACTTCTTTTTGTCCTAATTTGTCTAAACATACTCCAGGGTTGAAACTGCAGAAGAGCGGCCATACCGGTTGCACCTGAATCGACCGTAGTACCATACGCCATCTGTGACAAAAATAGTAACTAGTGAAAGAGGGTGAAAAAGAAATCAGTTGGTTACGTGACGACATGAACGTTTTTTCGTTGTTCGTTTCATCTTGCTTTGTTATCAAAGATTTTAGATGTAAGTCGATTTTTTTTTATAAACCGGTAAACGAGCAAGCGTATCACCTGATAGTAAGCAATCGGCGCCGCCCATGGACACCAGAAACCCTAAAGGCGTTTTTTTAAGAGGCGAAAATCATTCAATAGCTTTTCCCGCCCGGGTAAGGCGAGAGGGAGTGTCAGACTCTTACTGACTAAAAACCAACCCGTTCCTTCTCCTGCACTTCGAACCGGAGCCCCGGCAAACCGTTAAGCCCTCCGCAGCTCCGTGTCGGCATCAGCCCTATGGGGCCCCATCTGTGGTGGTCTGATGAAACACTAGAGGCGTTACAAGTGCGTTACCGGCCTTTTGGGGATAAGGAATTTGGGGATGATTGAAGATTCGGGGACTGGGTAAATTGGAGAGGGGCGAGTAATTGGGTCGATTGTTAATATTATTTCAATAAAGTTTTCTTCAAAAGTGAGATCGATCCGCCAGAACTGTGGACGACTCTGTGAGTTAGACCCCGTCTTAAAGCACGAGTAGAATATGGATGATTTTTAGTTTGTAAGATTCTGACACTGTCGCCCTCATCTCACCCAAAGTGGAACAAGTCATTGATTGAAGACCAAAGATCCCCCTCCCTCAAAAAAATTGTTGAGAGGTTGTAGATAACGATCGATTAGTTATTCCAGCTGTTGAAAAATTCCGATTATTTCAGTCATTGAAGAATTCAGACTTTGTTGTTATATATCTGTACTCGCATAGACAATCAAGAAAAGGTTAACCTTTGGCTGTCCAGTCTGACGTAGACCTCACCGCTGACGCTACCATTGAGGGCGATATCAGACCAGAGCCGTTCTGCTACTGCCGCCGCTCTAGGCCATAAGTGAGTGTCCAAATTGCCTAGAAAAATGAAGCAAATAAAGAAAATAATTTATTACACACAGTTTTAGCATTTGTTTTGTTGACATTTTGTTATTCAATTGTATAGTTTTTCAATTGTATTGTTATTCATTTATATAAATAAATAAATTGTACATAATAATATCTTTGGGACCTTTTCGACTCTTATAGAGTAGGCAGAGGTTCACAATTTTTTTTAAGCAATCAATTTTGCCAAATACTGAGAATTTCGTATTACCTTGAACCTGAACGTTATTGGAAATGTTATGATAAGATATCATAACATTTCCAATAACGTTAATTAATGACTCATTACCCACCACTATCAACCAAGTCCGTCCACAATATACTCTCCCCCCCCTCGATGGTGAACACCTCTATGTTCCGCCAGGATTTCCACGAGTACATATCTTGCCAGGTCCTGCGAAGATATCATAAATGTACACACATTTCGATTCGATTCCCGGGTCGGACAAATTACTACTGGGTTTTTTTAATTCTCAGTAGTAGCACGGAGTCTGGAATTGTGCCCGGTATAGGCTCACCCCCTATTACATGGGACTTACAACATAAATAGTAAAAAGTGGGTGTCACATTGTACAGTGGCATTAAGTGCCGTAATGTGCACCTCTACCCCTTCGTGCAAATAGAGCAACTAGAGAACTGACATTTTAATCTTTTTTTTTTTGATGTTCAAAAGTGTCTTCCTGGTCTAATTGAAATAAATGATTTTGATTTTGACTTTGACTTTAATGAAATTTGATACTAAATAATATACACAACACATTATCAATGTCAAAAATTGAACTTAGTTCATTGTTTTCATGAATTGGACTTGTAAGTAAGTTTGTTTGTAAAAATGCATACAAGCGTGCATTAATGCTCCCATCGCAAGTACCAATGTGACTTTTTCCGAGTTATATGTACTTTCTAAGCTTCTTTAGACACCACTGACAAACGGTGAAAGAAATCATCGTAAGGAAACCGGGGCGTTATGATTACTAATCACTACATAGTATAAAACAAAATCGCTACCACCGCGCCTATCGTGCAGCCTGACCATAGTGTACTATAATAATTAGTTATATCTTGTTACTGAGTTATTTATTATTAATATTTGACCCTGGCCTTGTAAATTAGGATCTTTAGTACTGTTTGTTTGTATAATACTGTAACGTTTTTGTTCCGGTAATTATATTCAGTAATACAATGTTTTTAGCTTGGGTTTGTCTGTAATTTTTAAGAGGTAATAAAAAGTATGGGTATTCTTCTTAAACTTCTATTTAAACTAATTTTAACATAATAAAAGTATTTTTGCACATTTAAAGCGCCATAGTTTGTTTTTTAAGTTTACAAAAAATGTTGTATTTGACTATTCTAGAGTGGAGATTGCGGTTAGGTAAACGTAGTGCAGGCGCTGTAGGGCGCCCTCCAGCTAGGTGGAGTGACGACATCCGCAAGGTGGCTGGCTGTGCTTGGATGAGAAGAGCTGAAGACCGAGCTCAGTGGCGTGCTATTGGAGAGGCTTATGTCCAGCAGTGGACGAATACGGGCTGATGAACTTTTCTGGTTTACAGTAATTTAATGTTAACAAATTATTACAAGTTACTGTCATATTTTGTACTTTTTCCAATTTATAGATACCAAGTTTAACCCTTTGAGTACCGTCATTATAGACACAATTAAAGATCAATAGGTTGTGGTCACCGGTGTCCTCGCGGTGATTGACAGTTTAAGCCTCCGTCAACGCATCCAATGTGTCAATTCCGTATTGCGTATCGAACAAAGAAACAAACAAACAATCAAATTCATTACTAACACAATGAAATTAAATATGACACGAACTTAAAATGTGCAAGGTGAACCAGTTTTAACAAATTCTATATATAATAAGCAGCGCTGCGTAATGACGTCACGATACATGAAATATTTGTCTATTACCTCAGGTCATAACGGCAGTTGACATATATTAACACATAAAGGTTATATTATATCTGTCTATGTGACTTTGAGATGTTAAATTTAACATTGAATTTTAGATAAAAATAGGACTATTAGTATGTAGACGAAATATAGACTAACAGATAATTATGAGGTTGATCGCAAAATTATCCTTGAGCAACTATTGTGACTTTTTATCTAGTTATTTCTATGCTTACTGCCTCGTTGGCCGAGTCGTCGCAAGTACGACTGCCGGGCAAGGGGTCTCGGGTTCGGAACCCGGTTCCAGACCCGCTCTAATACAAACAGATGATCGGTAAGATTCTAACCTCACCTGGTGCCATTTGATCGTCGACTTCAGGGGCACCCTATATAATAGGATGTTAGCTTAAAATGTAATATTCTACTAAAATCCTTACTAATATTATAAATCGGAAAGTGAGTTTGTTTGTTTGTTTGTTCCGCTTTCACGCCGTTACTACTAAACCGATTGCTTTGAAATTTTGCAGACGTAAAGTTAGAAGTCCGGATTAAATAATAGGGTACTTTTTAACCGGGAAAAGTTTTATATTTCCGAGGGAAAACAAAAGAATTGGTATAGATGGCGCTGTGTGTATTGGTATATGTCACATAGGCTACTTTTTATACTTTTGTGACGCGAGCGAAGCTGCGGGTAAAAGCTAGTATAATATAATGTCACACAGTCAAATAATGAGATATGTAACTTATAGCTTACATCATCTTTATATTATGTCTAGAGGGCAGAGGTCCCTCCCTTTGGACTACTCCGATAACAAATTAATATGTTATATATAATTGGGGTCATAGTAATATATTGGGACCCCTTATAGAACCTATGTGAAGTTATTATGTAGTAAATAGTTATATTATAATAATAACTAGATTCTGCCCACGACTTCGTACGCGTAATCACCACATGTTACTCTTTTTGCGTTCAAAAAGATTTTATCCAGCCATGATCGTCCCAATGCAGGGCAAAGGTCTCCCTACCCTTCTCTCACATGTCGCGGAGAACCTAACGGGTAACCGGGGCCCCGGTTCGACGTGCAGGAGAAGGAACGGGGTGGTTTTTAGTCAGTAAGAGTCTGACACTCCCTCCCGCACACCCAGGCGGGAGCAATCATTCGATGATTTTCCCCCCTTAAAAAATACCGTTGTTTCCTGTTCTCGTATAATTTCTGGAAATCCTTGGGTAAAAAGTATCCTATGTTCGTCTCCGGGTTCTGAGCTACGTCTCCAAAATTTTTAGCCAAATCAATTCAGCCATTCTTGCGTTATAAATACTATATTATAACTAACACGACGTTCTTAAAGATGTAACCTAGAATTATGGAAGTGATTGCAAAAGAGCTACTATGAAGCTCCTTGCTCGGCATTATCTATAGGAGTTTTAACTTTAGCTTAATCAAATAGCTTCAGGATCTACATGATGACATATATTTTTATTAAAACAACATAACATAACATCACGCCTTTTATCCCCGAAGGGGTAGGCAGAGGTGCACATTATGCCACTGTGCAATATAACACCCACTTTTCACTATTTATGTTACGAGTCCCATGTAATAGGGGGTGAGCCTATTGCTATATACCGGGCATAATTCCAGACTTCGTGCTACTACTGAGAATTTTTAAAAACCCTAGTAATACTTTGCCCGACCCGGAAGTCGAACCTGAGACCCATTGCCCGAGCACTCGGCCAAGGAGGCAATCATATTTTTATCGTTTGTGTATTTTTTAGTTTCTTGATTAGTTTTGTCGTCTTACATACATAATTAACAGCCTATTATTACCCACTGCTGAGCAAACCCTCTTCTCACACGGTTTGAGCATTAATCACCACGCTTGCTCAATGCGATTATAAACTTCTAATTTCTACTTATAAGCCTAGGCCACGATGTTTTCCTTCACAGTTTGTCATTGGTGTCTAAATAATCTTAGAAAGTACGTATAACTCAGAAAAATTCACATTGCTACTTGCCGTTGGTAGGTTTCGAACTCGCACTCTCATGCATGAGAAGCGAGCATTAGACCTCCGGACCACCATGTTTGTATTTTCATTTCGACAACTTATCACGCTTACATTAGAACCTTTTGTTCAACTCAGAAGAAGAAGATAAACGGTATTCTATTCTTATTGAGAATTAAAAGAAGATGTATTATACCCCCACCTGTATCGTTTACACCTGTGCTTCTTCACTTCACAGGATAAGTCCCATCTGCTTGAATGTATCACTTTGAATCTGCTGAGGAACTGTTCAGTTGGATTTGGCTGCCATTCTGATAATTGAACTCCAAACCTAGAAATAACTCGCCATCAGTATCATCATAGCAACCATATTAAGATGTCCACTTCTGAACATCTACCTCCCTGATTCTATACTTTTTTAAAAACTTATTCTAGCTACGATTTTCATGAGGAAATTTAATGTTAAACCTACCCCATACATACATAATCCCTCACACCCACAAGCACACACCAACATACTATATACACATTTTAATATACCTAAATATTCTATGTATATACAATATACTATACATTTTAAGAATACCCACTTACATTTTGCACTTACCCTCTAATATATTATATACCTTAAGTACTTACCTATATTCGGAACAAATAAATAAATATTAAAAAAAAATGTTAACCAAAATGTAATTTATAATAAGCTGGTGACACCCCTAAAATTTGCAACGCCTGAAAAAGGCCGTTAAGCTGTGGCTGTTATTTCATAAGACCTGTATGTATTACCTTAACATGCAAATAAAAAGTTTGAGTTTGAGGAAAAACCCCTCTGTGAAACAAGTGAATTTATTTCTGCAAATAGGCTACAAGGCAGCACTTTTACACGTCAATTTTATCAAGCGAACGATGAGGCCGACATTTCCTAACTGACTACTCTGAGAAGAAATGCCAAAACAAACTCAGAGGTAAACAAACCACAGAGGAGACTCTGTGGTTCAAAACCAGTAGAGCTTTACTCAGTATATTCACGTGACTAACCCGTGATTTTTAGTTAAAACTCTTCATCTATCTATATATAATATTTACTTTATTTTACCTGCGGCTTTGCCCGTATGTTCCTATTTTATCCCATGGAAGCATTTAATCGGGATAAAAAGTATCCTATCACCTAAATCAGCCCATACCCTGCCTGTATACCAAACATTACAATCCGTTCAAAAACAGCTGACAGACGGACAGACATCCAAACAAAGAAACTTTCACATTTATAGTATTTTTTTTATGGCATAAGCCGGTAAACGAGCAGACGGATCACCTGATGGTAAGCAATCGGCTTCGCCCATGGACACCTGGGACACCAGAGGCGTTACAAGTGCATTACCGGCCTTTTGGGGATTAGGAGTTTGAGGATCAGGGATTCAGGGATTGGGGATATTAGGGAAGGGGAGGGTAATTGGGCCTCCGGTAACCTCACTCACACGACGAAACACAACGCAAGCGTTGCTTCACGTCGGTTTTCTGTGAGGCCGTGGTATCACTCCGGTCGAGCCGCCCCATTCGTACCGAAGCAAGGCTCTCCCACACTTGATAGTATAATATTAGTGTGATTTTAATTCGTTTGTTCGTTGAAACTCTCTAATCTCCGAAACTACGCGCCCAAAATGTACTAACTCTATATTGTACTGGATAGTTCATTTATCAAGGAACGAACCGAGCAGAGCAGGTAAACCCACGCGAAAGCAGCTAGTTATACAAACGTAAAGCAATTTAATGCATATTATTATAATAATATCTTTATCGAACCTAATTTTTAACTTATTCATGCTACACTTATTTAGATAAATCAGTTATATGGTAAAAATTAGTTATTTGTACCTAACATTAATAATAATACTATTTTAACCGACTTCAAAAAAGGAGGTTATTATTATTTTAATGAACAAGAGAAAACAGTTTTATATATAATGAACTTTATCGAAGGTAATTCGTTACTTAACTTTACGCCTTTTATGCCCAAATTATCCGCACTCGCATTAAGTGCCGTAATGTGCACCTCTGCCTACCCCAGGCACTACACTACACTACACTGTACAATGTAACACCCACATTTCACTATTAAGTGTCTTAAGTTCCATGTAATAGGGGGTGAACCTATTACCATATACCGTGCACAATTCCAGACTCCGTGTTACTACTGAGAATGTTTTTAAAAAACTCAGAACCCGAGATCCCTTGCCCGGCGGCGGTCGTACTTGCGACCACTCCGCCAGCGAGGTAGTCAAGCCGAAGCTAATTCCTAATTTATTTATATGCTACTTATTTGACAGAGACGCGTGCAATGGCGGTATGATGATGATGATTAAAAGATCCATAAAATCTTACCGGTCCCAAGCTCGAGCTTCATAGTCCTTGGTCAAATGCGTAGAATACCACACGATAGGTAACTTCGGTAAGAACCCTTTATTAGCCATCTTCAATCTCTCAATAGCCTTTTCCAAAAACCCTTCTCTCTCTTCAATCAAATAGAAGCAATTAGCCAAAGAAAATATACTGTCACTCAAATGAAAAACATCTTCAATTTTCGTCATCGCCAAAATTTCTGTGTAGATTATTTGCAGGATATCAAAAACTGAGTCACGCATGCCTAATCTCAAACATAAAATGTTGCTGCAAGTGAAGTTTCTATTTTTACTTGGGCATGTCGCTTCTGGAACCCAAGACCATGGTCTTCCAACTGGGCCTGGGGCTGACACTTCCATTACAACTCTAATACCACGGATACCAGCCCTTTTCACCACCGCCCTTACATCCTCCTTAGAATACATATAAGCTCTGCCATAAGAACCATATTCAAATAGCTGTGGGACTTCAGGGAGATACAAAGGGAAACTGGTGACGTCAGAGATTCTCCAGTGAAAAGTATTTAGTTTAGAGTAACCCATAGCATCTAATGTTCTCATGATATCTGGTATTGGTATAAAGTTTCTTGCAGTGTCTAACATGAGACCTCTGTATTTGTAGCTGGGGGCATCTTTAATCACCATGTTTGATACAGTTATTAAGTAACCAGTGGTCTGGTCTAAAAGGATCACTTGACTGAGAGTCTCTAAGCCATGTCTCATGCCACAAAACGAAGCTGCCATCAATTTCACCATAACCTGGTTACCTACTGTCTCAATCTTAATCTGATAAGATTCGTCTGTGTCTAATCTTAATCGTGGATCAGGATCCGTCTCCACATCCATTTCTATGGACATCTTTTTCACAACTGTTTCTTTAGATAAATTTCTTCTTGATTCTGAGGTATATTGTTCTAGCTTGGCTATGTCTCCGAGGAATAATTTGAAGGCCTCTGCTAGATATATGTGAACAGCTTCGGAAGGTACAGAATTGAATTTATATTCTAATCGGCTTGTGGCTAGGGATACGATCTTCTTGCTGTAGTAAGTGTAGCCTATGGGGAACGGCCATATTTGTGGTCCTGTGCATAAGAGCGTGCACCTGCTTAACGAAGAGTAGAAGTATTCCGAAGTTGGTCCAATGAGTTTTTCACAAAAACCGTTCTTGCAGATGTAAGAGTTGAACTGGAATACTCTGAGGAAATTGTATTGAGTTTTGATTTAGAATTGCATAAATTGCTACTGTACAGCGTCAGCTTGCCAACTTAGTGATAAGCTTGTGACAGCGATTCAAATTGTACCTATTCACATTTATTTTATTTTGGTTGATGGATTGCAATGATTATTTTGATTCGTTAAGGACGCATTAATAAATAATCAAACAGGGGTTCAAACCAAAAGACAATTGTTAATTGCATTCAATTTATCAATTTTGATAATGAAGCCCAGTGCAATTTTCTTGTAACGTCTCTGGTGTTCCGGGTGTCCATGGGTGATGCCGATTGCTTACCATCAGGTGATCCATCTCCTCGTTTACCGGCTTATTCCATAAAAACTGCATGCTAATCAGTTTGTAGTTACAAAAGATATAAACATAACTACTGATGATGATGATGATGATTTCATCTTACCTAGCTTCTTGACTAGCACTCATTCGGAACTCCTCAATCTTTTCTGCAGTAGACTCGGCGGTTTTATTCATTCCCCATGGATGAAAGAAATATAGATATGCTAAAACTCCTGCTGCTACGATGAGCAAAAGAAGTATAATAACGATGATAAAAATCATCCAGTTAAACTCGAAATCCAAATCGTATCTGAAGGAATGGAAACAATTTTAAGGAAAAGGGGACCTATTTTATTGAGACACTACTATACTCGGAATTTTAATTCGATTCCAGATTTGACAATTTCAGTGTTGCAACATTATGACAAGTACTAAATAGTGACGTTGCGAAATTATTCGATATGGAAATGCAATATTCCTGGATCGATTCTTCTCGTTTATAATTTTACTCTAGTAAACTAAGTATATCAGGAAATTAAATATTACTGAACCGATAATTTAGTTTTGACGATTAATTAACGATCTGAGACTTTTCTTTTATAATTGTGTGTGAAATAAATAAAAAATGTAATCATGAAGGAACATGGCAAATAAAACAGATAGATGTATTATGGTAATAAGTTATTTTATAAATTGTCACCGTCATCGCTATCGCTATCCTGTCACTTTCTGTAACATTAATTATTAAACACACACACTGATTGTTTATCGATTTTTGTGTGCATCACTACACTATTATATGTGGTATCATTATTTCACAAAATGACAGTAGCTATTGTCAAATCTGGAATCTAATTAAAATTCTGACTATAGTCTTACAATGAACCAATATAAGGCCAATATTTTGTTTTACGTGGGGAGTGGTCAAATGTTACCGCATTTCCTCTAATTGATTGGTTAACTTGGAGTTGATCAATCAGAGCGTTGAACGTCATAAATGGGTCGATCTTTAACTTAAAACAAACTCATACTAGGCACGTTTAGCGTCAACGACGAGATTTTGCTACCAGGTGACCATAGTCTCCTAATTTAATCTTAATATGTCAAGAAATCGTGAAAAATTAGAAAAAAACAGGGGAGTTACACTTACGGAAAATTGGTGAACATATTTCCCTTTTTTTCACCGTAATGATATGCTTTATACTCTTGTTGAGAAAACATTGAACCTTTTCTTGGCTCTCCTCCACAACAAGGTTCATTGGGACTGCATCTATTGCATGCACAATTAAGACCGCATCTCTTTCCTGGTGGAATAGAAGAGAATGAAATTAGCTTCTCCATATTTTTCTACTTATTAAACTGTCCAACACCGAGCGGTCCCCTGTGACCGCAACCTATTGTTCTTTAATTGTGTCTATAGTGCCGTCATTATTCGTTTAACTTTGAGTACCGTTATTCAACGAGTTAAACCTTCCTTGAATATCCACAAATATCGCCAGTATTGGACCTAAATCCTCAAAAAAAAACACTTCAGAGGTTTCAACAAAAACCCGTGTCCAAATATAAAGAATTAAGGACCAAGAGCACACGATATATGCCAGTATGATTGAGACCTTGATGAGCATTAGTCAAAACGCCAAGAGAAATAAAACTTCCTATGATAATCTTAATAGCGTCTGCTGCTAAAATTCAAGCCAAGCCGAAGAACCAAGAACCTCAATTTGGAGCTGAGAGAATTATTAAGTAAGAATGAAAGAAAAAACATTTATTTAGCACCAGGCACGATGCAGCATAAATAAAATATAAAAAGACAATCAAGGTGTGACAGAGGAAGTAATAAAAATATAAGAGTTGAAAAATTAAAACAGAAGAATTTGAAAAGAGACGCTGACAACATGCCTATGCTAAAAGTAGTATTAGTATTTGAGTTGAGTAAGCCTTTGACTGCCATTAGAAAACTGTTGAAGGTAAATCCTCTGCTAACGTCGGTCACCGGAGACCCCCATGGCGCTTAATGTGTTTATTTATTTATTCTTTTATGTACAAAATTTTATTATGGCACATAAGGCGAACTTAATGCTATATGGCATTCTCTACCAGTCAACCTTAGGGTTTAAGTAGAAAATCAGCGAAAAATAAGGTACGGAGAATAAACTAACAGATTGTTCGGAGCGGTAACGGGATCATAGCGCGATCAACATTTCATTATAATAAAATATTATTAGTCAGAGTTGTCACGTCGCTCGATAGAGGGTGGTAATATCGAGATAGATCGCGCTATGGTTTCGTTACATCAATTTGGTTAGGTTGCTCGTCAAACTTAACGTTGGCGAGTACAACCAGCGCCCCTAGCGGGAACAAGGAACAAAGGAAGTGGATAAAAAGTGAAAGTAATAGTGGTGTTTGTGTTGTTATTCCAAACCCCTCGCAAGCCGACCCTCTGTCTTCTTCAAGATAGAGAGAATAAAAAGTAAATATTACTTTGTTTAGTTGGTCTAACAATTTTTTGGAAAGAGAGATTCTAGAATTAAATCCGTTGAGTAACAATAATCTATACTACATTAAATTCTTACTAAACTTACTAAAGTCAGCAGATTCCGTAGCCACAGTTCCATCCCTAGATGTATACCGATGCACGTGAAGTTGAACTTTAGGTGCTTTATCAAATGGTTCCTTTTCAGTCACATCAGACTTAGAAGTGTAATTTACAACATAATCAACTTCTGAATATGAGGTATCAGTGACAGTAGACGGCAGTACAGTTACTGACGACTTGAATTTCAAAGTATTTGAGTCTTTATTTGTAGAGTCAGAAAGTTCACTATCGTCCTTCTTGGCTGTGGTGTTATCTGTCGTAACAGTATTGTAGGAACTTTTTCCTGGTGATGTGCTTGGTTTGCTATATTCAGAATCGAGTTGTTTTAGTGTTTCAGCGTCTTTGACTTCTTTCTTAGCCTTTACATTTGAGTTCATTAGTCCGTATGCATCTGCAAGATTTTGCATAATGCGTATCAAATTATTTATAGGTACTTAAGTGGTATAGTTACATTTATCGGAACACCTGACACATAAGTAACGATTTTTCTCTGAATTTGGGTTAATCTTATCATAAATTGATATTTGAAAATTGTTGTTTTTGTTCTTGTTGTTTTCGTAAGTTTAGTTAATTTGTGTCTCAATTTCATATAATTATAGAAATGTTGATAACTAGATATAAACAATGTATTCAATTAACTCAATAATTTTGCCATAAGCTATAAAACAACATATTTGTTACGTGCATTTTTGGCAAATCAATTATTTCTGATATCTAATTTCAGATTTTTGTTGTTAGTGCAAGCCATACCGATGCCTGATTAAAATCATTAACAGAATATTCCATTTAAAATTGTCACTACATAAGAATGGTATTTAAAATTAAATTAAAAAGGTGCGTAAACTGTCTACAGTATTTACCTTTGATAGCACACTGAATGTTGCTAGCCGTCACTTCCATGTCAGCCAATCGTTCACAAAACTTCAATATCATATTCTGTTCCTCCTTCGTTAAATTGGTGCATATTTCTTTATCCACGTCACTTTCCTCTGAATTTACACAGCAATGGAACAGCATGATAGAATACATAACATATAACTTGTTTGGAATATCTCTTAGTTCGAAAAAGCATCTGGAAGAACAATGTTTAGTTTTTGATCAAGAGGATGAGTAGACAAATCCCTCTTTTTTATGGTGTAAGCTGGTAAACGAGCAGACGGATCACCTGATGGTAAGCAATCGTCGCCGCCCATGGACACCTGAAACACCGAGGCGTTTCAAGTGCGTTACCGGCCTTTTGGGAATTGGGGATTTGAGGATTGTGGAGGATTCGGGAATTGGGGGGGTCTTCTGTGAGGCCGTGGTATCACTCTGGTCGAGCCGGCCCATTCGTGCCGAAGCATGGCTCTCCCACACTTAATTTTTTTTTGCATTTTTGTCACTTGGTCATCGATAGCTATGAATGGATAATGTAGTAGTACAGCTTGGCATTTAAGCAGGTGGTCTCAATTTTTTAAGTGATACAGTAAGTTTATTAGTTGGTTCGTTGATCGCGATATTCAAATGTAAGTATGTAATAGGTTCATCTCTGACGAAAAACATGGGCTTGACAGCACCAAGAGTTATATTGCATGCGATCTCGTGTATTATATTTACGGTTTTAAAGAATGTTCTGTTCAATTTTCTTATATAATTATCTTCGCGATAAGAGTCTAATAGTTAAGTATGATTAAAAACTATTATAACTACAAGAGAACCTTTCGAATACCTAGTTGCCTTTTGATTGTGATGTGGAGAAATCATTAAATTACTCCGGCCGCCCTAGGCGAAGCAAGAGAGAGTGTCAGACTGTTTCCACTCCTCCTTCGAGCCAGAGTCCCGGTAACTCGATAGGTCGTCCGCAGCTCTGGTGGCTTACCCTTGAATCCAATTCCGATCGATCGACATTGGTATTGCGAAATTTTGTACTCTTGAGTTGCAACACTAGCGCCCATTGCATCCGTATTGCGTAGATATTGAATGGACTAAATGCTATCATCATCATCAACAGCCTATAAATGCCCACTGCTGAGCAAAGCCTCTTCTCACACGGAGAAGGTTAGAGCATTAATCACCACGCTTGCTCAATGCGGGTTGGCGATTTCAAACTTATAATTAGAAATTATAAGTCCAGGTTTCCTCACGATGTTTTTCCTTCACCGTTTGTCAGTGGTGTCTAAATAATCTCAGAAAGTACATATGACTCGGAAAAAGTCACATTGGTACTTGCCGTTGGTAGGTTTCGAACCCGCACCCTCATGCATGAGAAGTGGGCGTCTTAAACCTCCGAGCCACCACGACGTCTACCCACCACGACGTCTACAATTGAAAAATGCTATTGAGTTTGGCTTTATATCCCGTACTCTAGAGGTAAATGCTATATTAACAGCTACGATCGTGGTTGTATAGATTTGATTGAAATTGCATTGACATTGAGATTGGTTTCAAGAGTAAGCACCCTGGTCGGGAATCAGCCCTACTGGGCCCCATCTACCTCTATAGTTCTTCCTCTATGTGAAATTATTTCTTTTCTACTTACCTCAATTTCAATTGCGGATACTTATGTTTGAGCAACGCCTGCATATCATATACATTAAATACAGGTTTCTTAACATTTTGTCCGTAGATATCTTGTTTATATTTATTTAAAACAAACACCAGACTCTTGATATTCAGTTGCTTCACTGTTTTCTCTGGGTGAACACATTTGTTAATCTGGAACAGTTAAATGAAATGTCTATCATTATTTTTAGTCTCTTTATTTTAATACTTCTACTACTACAAGTACTGTAGGTACAATGGCGGGTATCTCTGACACTCCCTCTCTCCTTAGTCAATAAGAGTCTGCTCTTATAATTATAATATAGCCTTTTATTCAGATCCTTAACTTACATTACATTACACTTACATTTAAAAGCAACTTAAAATTAAAAATTATTCTATTATTTGTTGTTTGGTGATCATTTGCAGATCTGTTTGCCAATCGGCAAAGGCCTCCTCCAGAGTCTGCTCTTACTGACTAAAAATCACCCCGTTCCTAATCCTGCTTCGAGCCGGAACTCCGGAAACCGTAAGTCTTCTTCAGCTCCATAATTTTCTTCCAGTCTATCTTAGAGTGATACAGAGACAGGGCATGATAGGTGCAACAATAAAACAAACAACAAGATATAGTGACCACCTAAACATCATTTTTACTGTCATCATCATCATTAACAACAATCCGCGACAATCACTTCTGTTCTATGAGCCTCTTCTTCATAAAAGGGCTTTTTTTTATGGGACAAGCCCGCCACAACCTCCCAAAACCGCTGCAACTCCTGTAAGCCAGGATCTACAGTAGATACAACCATGAAAACACCGGAACACTGAAGTCCGGCGTGTCCCAGGGACATGAGTAACTGTCTTGGTTCCCGCAACGAAATGAATCAGAAGATATTATAAGAGGAGAAGAAAAAACTATAGTTTCCACTTCCCTCGGTGAATTTCTGCAGGAGACAGAATGAATTAAGCCTAAAGGCACAAAGAAGAGACTGTACAACTGGGTGAAGCCCAGTCGCCAAGCACCACGGAAATTTGACTAAAAAACTAAGTGGGTCCTATGTGTGAGCTGTTATACTTGCTTCCAATAATAGGTATGGCAAAAACGCCTAAACGCACGGAAATTTGTTCTGGATTCCACAAGGTCCGTATAATAAGCTACACCTGACGAAACAATTAAATTATTCAACATAGTGTTACGTTCATATTGCCAGAGATCACACTCCCAGAGTATGTGATGGGCCGACTGCTCGTATTGCAAATCCACTGTCGAACATTGGCACCATGGTGAATCAATAAGTTTAAATGAGAACAATTTGCTTTTAAAGTTGTTCATAAAAGGGCTTGCAATAATTTCTATGCTAGGTATTCTTCAACTTGCACCTAGTTGAACTTGAAGTAACTTAAAAGGTTTAGATTCATCATAGAGTGCCGACTGAATCTCTGTCAATACTCCCTTAGGTTGTCCTTATAAAACCCCACATAAGGGTAATCAGAAATGTGTAGCGTAAGGCATTTGGTTGACCCTCTATTGCGTGGGTCTGATAATATGTCTGGGGATTAATGGGTATTGCAGCTCTGTGATGAACGGCCTGAAATGGTAAGAGTAGAATACATATGTATACATACCCAATTCAATAACAATTCAGTCCAATATTTTTCAACAACTTCAATATTGCAGTCAGAATAAGATTTGTCGTCGGATTTCATTTTCGAAAATAAATCAAATAACAGCTGTACAAAATTAGCAAAACAAAACGCATAATATATAGACTACATAATAAAAATGAAAATATTTTAATTTTCCTTGTAAATATTTACGAAAATTGACACTGACAGGAGTAGGGGATAAATTGAGGAAGAAAATTGCATGTCGACCTCTTTGATAGAATTCAAAAAAGTTTTAGTATCGGCCACACGTGCTTCGTCCAAAGCTGCGCCTATAGTCTTGCAGAGATTCATAGGCATAGACATTATACGTGCTGCCGTGCAAAGCGACGATCAAGGGATACGCACGTCTCCCTAGGAATGTGCTGTAATAGGCGTTGTACCCTTGGGGCTCCAGAGCACTGGGCTTACTCTTGAATCCAATTCGACTCGATCGATCGACATTGATATTGTGAAATTGTAGATGTACCTACTCATGAGTTTTAAAACTAGCGCCCATGGCATCCGTATTGCGTGGGTATTTAATGAACTAAATGGTATTGAGTTTGGCTTTATATTCCGTACTCTGAATGCTATTTTAACAGATACAATAGGGGTTGTTTAGATTGCAATTGCATCAACATTGAGATTGGTTTCAAGAGTAAACCTGTCTCTTCTGAGGACCCGGTGCCCCTTACAGTTGCTGAAGGTGGTTTTAATGAGGTACAAATCTAACTCTCCCTAGTCTTGCTCTCCAAAAAGCTAGGCGCCCATTGAAGGGCTCCCGTCATCAAAAAAAAGTCCATGCTAACGCGAAACGTCTTGTGTCTGCAATAACCGGGAAAAACAATCATGCAGATTGATCGCCAGCGTGGGTACGACGTAAAAAGGAGTGCGTTCTACATAATATATCTTAACTTAATAGTAACTATGACATTAGAAATAGTTTCTTAATAGATAAGAGCATTATCAACTAAAAGTTTAGCTTTATTTTGTGAACTAATAAAGTGTTACACCACAATTTCAATAAAATAATTAGATAACTTATCTAATATAGACGTAGTAACTGAATTAGTTAATATTGTTTTATGTTTGTTTGTTAAACTAGCTTTTTGACGCAGCTTTGTCTCTACTATTAAGACGTATAACATACCTGGTAAAAAGTATAAAGTTACTGTATGTTAGAAGAGGTGTTTTAATGTATTCAAAGACGTCGAAAAAAAGGCGGAGGTAATGCCACGTAGAAATGATTGAAGCACCATCATGTCAGTGGTGTATTTCAGTGTAGGTGTACTTGCAACACCGTAATGTATGAAGTGTAGTGACGGGCATGTCACGCGACAGATTTTTTTTATATATTTGATGGGGCGACGTTTGACCACAATATCGCCTGGTGGTAAGCGATGATGCTGTCTACGATAGAGCACGTCGTCCCATAAGCAACCTATTCACTCGGGCCTTGAAGACTCCTTCAGGAAATACAGACTCTGGCAAAGAATTCCACTCTTTAGCAGTACGCACAAGGAAGCTTGAAGCGAAGCGCTTCGTGCGTGTGGGTGGGACATCTACCATGAATTGTTGACGCTTCGCCGATTGTCTTGTGGTATGATGATGGAAAGGACTAGGGGGAATCAAGTTGTGCATTCCCCCGTGTCCTTCTGCGTGTAAGTCTATAGTAGCCAGGTGTCGCAGTCGTTGTTTTATGAGACTATGTCCACCATTTTTAGCGTCCTTGGCTGTTTTTATCATTAACAGCCTGTTACAGTTTAAGTATTATATCTTTAAGTTAGTATAAATAATCTCCATGTTTAGGTAGGTTGGTTGGAAATTGTCATTTGTGTAAAAACAGAAAAATGTTCGGGTTTATGAGAAACCGCTGTACTGCTTTCTAGTCGTTAATATGTAGGCTCCTAACGGGTTACCGGGGCTCCGGCTCGAAGAGCTGGAGTAGGAACGGGATGGTTTTTAGTCAGTAAGAGTCTGACACTTCTTCTCGCCTAACCCAAGGCAGGAAAAGTCATTGAATGATTTTCCCCCCTCAAACAAAAGGGCTATATTCCACCATGGCATCATAGATCGGCCGATGATTCCGTGACATGACTATGGAATATTAGGAATGGTGATAATAAATTCGGAAATATTCGATAACATATTAATAAATTAGAAAATAGCTTTTTAACGATAGAAGTAATCAAGCAAATATTTAATCGATTTGGTCGGGCATAAACAAATAAGATAATAATTATACCATCAGGTGTAGGGGGTAAACGGTTAGCAATTAAAAAGCAATAAAAATAAAAAATCAATTAATAACTTTTACAACATATTTATTTATATATATTTTTATAATAATTTCTATTGTTATGAAATACTAAATCAGCCTTGTGTAATTTGTATTTGTATACTTTCTAAACATACCCCTACGGCACTAGACTAATGCTTCATATCATCATCATCAACAGCCTATAAGTGCTCACTGCTGACCAAAGGCCTCTTCTCACACGGAGAAGGTTTGAGCATCAATCACCACGCTTGCTCTTATAGTAAACAGTTATAAGCCCAGGTTTCCTCACCATATTTTCCTTCACCGTTTGTCAGTGGTGTCTAAATGATCTTAGAATAGAAAGTAATCCGATCTATCAACGCACAGCCTAAACCACTGGCAGAAATTTGGCATGCTGGTGGAGGTTATGACGTAAGCATCTGCTAAGAAAATATTTAGATGAATTCTACCCCAAGGAGATAAAAAGGGGGATGAAAATTTGTATGAAACTTTGTCCATTTTACACCAATCGCGCTGAGACTTTGCATGCATAAAGGTACTATAATGTGGGTATCCCTTAAGAAAGGAATTTGATAAACTCCACCCCTAAAGGGATAAAGTAGGGGAAGAAAGTTTTTATAAATCTCTTAGATTTTCGACTGCTGAACTGAATTTAAAGATTAGAGCTACTATGATGAAGGCCATTGAAGGCATCCGGGAAAGGACGTCTGAGAGTTGTCAACCCGGAAATCCCACGAGTACGGAAACTATGCGTTAAAGCCCCAGGACTCTCTTTCTTTTAAACCACTGTACTTATTTCATTGAACTAGTGTTCTAAATACAAACGTATAATAAAATAATTTAATTAAAACATTAAATCAGCTTTTGAGAAAATAAACCACATTCGAAACATATATAAGTGTAACTCATAGATTCCAATAGATGGAGCTAATATGTTTCTGAATCGCACTAACGTTGTATCTTGTTTATTTGTACTTAATAAGCTCGCGATTTTCACTATAGTGCACACTGCACATGGTACACATACTCTATTATTTAACTATTGATTCAAATTGATTTAACTAAGCTTAGTTTTGCACGCAAGGACAAACATTAAAGGTGGCTGGGGTGAACTTAGAAAAGCCGTGTTTTTCCCATGGACAGCTGCATTAGCATGTTCGCGTGTGTCTAAGGCCTAGAATCATTTTATTCTGACACCAAATGGAAAGACATATAATATAGTATACAGTGGTGTTTATATAAAATATATATACATACATTTTTTTTGAGCGTGGAACACCTCCTTTGGCTTCTCTCACCTCGGGTTAGCTGAGAGGGAGTGTCAGACTCTTACTAACTAAAAACTACCCCGTTCCTACTCATGCTCTTCGAGCCGAAGCCCCAGGACCCCGTTAGATCTTCCGGGGTCCCATATTGGGCATCAGCCCTACTGGGCCCATCTGTGGTGGTCTGATGGCTATACACACATACATACAGGTCAAAATGAGAACCTCTTTTTATTTAGAAGTCGGTTAGCTAAAACTGACAAATTTTAATAAATGACGTTTTTAACAATAAGTATGTGCATCTCTACTTACTCCTTCTACTATAAAAAGGCATGAAAAACAAAAGTAATGACAAGAAAAATTCATATTAATGTTAACATTTCCGAGAACTGTAGAGAACAATGGAACGGCCTCAAACTGCATACCCGCAGGTCAACAGACCGAGCATTATGTAACTGGCCGTGAATCTAAAGGTATATTGATTAAAAAAAAGTGATTGTAAAAAAGTTACCAGCAAGAAATGTCGGTCAAGCTCAATGCTTGAGGTTTGGCGTTCCGCAGGAGTGGTGTTGGAACCATTTAAAGAATATTTAGTTTTGCAGAAGGGGAGGGAGGATCATTGGACCTCCGGTAACCTCACTCACACGACGAAAGCCATGCTTCGGCAGGAATGGGCCAGCTCGACCGGAGTGATACCACGGCCTCACAGAAAACTGACGTGAAACAGAGGCCCAATTGCCACCCCAACCAATATCCTCAATCCCTGCGTCCCCCAAAAATCATCAAATTTCTCTTCCCCAAAAGGCCGGTAACGCACTTGTAAAACGTCTGGTGTTCCGGGTGTCTATGGGCGGCGCCGATTGCTTACCATCAGGAGATCCGTACGCTCATTTTCCGGCTCTACGTCGACCTAAACAAATTACAATTCGTTTTCGTTAATATGAAGATGAAGATTTATTTTGTTTACAAAACCTTACTTGCTCAAGAACACAGTGACTTCATAAAAAAACACATACAAACTAACAAATTAGTAAAGATATTTTCCCTAATAATAATTGACGACGGGTTCCATAGACCGACGGAAGGTATCAATTTACATAACATAACATAACAGCACGCCTTTTTATCCCCGAAGGGGTAGGCAGAGGTGCACACAGAAGTAACACCCACTTTTCACTATTTATGTTATGAGTCCCATGTAATTACATGAGGCTTTGCTCAGCAGTGGGCATTTATAGGCTGTTGATGATGATGATGATGATGATAACTTAGTAACTGAAGTTGTACCAGAAATTAATTACCGAACACTTTCTAAGTCATGGATTTGTATTGTATTCCACTTTCTCTGACTTCTTTGTTATTGTGGAACGTACATTGATACCCGACTGCCTCGCTGGCCGAGTGGTCGCAAGTGCGACTGCCGAACAAGGGGTCTCGGATTCGATTCCCGGGTCCGGCAAAGTATTACTCTGTTTA